CATTGTTTTCCTCTAGTCTCCAGAGTGATGATGAAGAGTGTGATGGCAGCTCTGTCTGTGCTGACAGTCAACATGTTCCTGAGCCTCTTCTTCCCTGCAGCTGTTTCAGGTTTGTTCTCGTTCGTGTGGAGACGAATCTTTTCTGAAAGAGTTCATCCCGATCTTGTCTAAAGGCTCCACATGTAACACGCTGCAGCTGAGCTGGAGTTTGTGGATCGGGAAGATTTTCTCCACATTTTGTTCACCATCAGTCTGATTTCACAGGTGATGAAGCTGATTGTGGTTCTGTAACACCACCCCTTCGCATCACAACACCAGGGATGATGGAAGCTCTGAGTGGATCTTGTTTGCTAATCCCATGTAGTTATGAACCAAAAGATTCAACATATGACAGCAGCAAAACAATCAATGGAGTTTGGAGGAGAAATTGGTGGTCTGCAAGCAATATTTTTCACAGCGATGGATCAGTTAACATCTATAAATTGAGCATCACTGGAAACCTGAAGGACAAAGACTGCACCACTCTGTTTCCTGATCTACAAACAAGTTATTCAGACAAATACTTCTTCAGAATTGAGAACGCACTTTTAAAGGCAACAGCTTGTGCTGATTCTCTTCAAATATCAGTTAAAGGTAAGAATTTTCTCCTCAACTCTCCATAAAACTCGTCACAGCTTCACCAACATTTAGACACAAACATCAACTGTTCTGAAGATGATCAGCAGCTGTTTCGTTCAAAATGAATTCAGTTGGTGGACGAATGTGAAATTATTTTAAGTTATTTTAAATGAACTGCTGCTGCACTAATGATGATTTACATGTTTTTTATAGTTCGCATTAGCTACATTTCAGTTCAGAGATTAGCTCGGCTGCTTGACATCAAGGGCTCCTATTTGACTTTTCTGTTTAGTTTTATGTTCTCCCTGTGCTCACATCGGGTTTATAAAGGAACTCCTACAGTCCAAAATGGTGTGTGTGTGAGACGGTTTGACAGATTGTATTTAATCTGCTCTGGTGTCTGTAAATCCCAGATTCTGCCTGGAGTCCCAGCATTAAAGTCTCAGGTGATCTGAAGGATCTGAAGGAGGAGGAGTCTGTCTCCATCACCTGCTCAGCTCAGACTCCCTGTCCACACTCACCTCCTGAACTCACCTGGAGTCTCCAACAAGACTCTCAGAGAACAGAGAAGAACCCAGATGGAACGTTTACAACTAAAATCCAGGAGAACATCATTCTGTCAGACACACATGATGGAGACAACATCACATGTTCTGTCAGATATCCTGTGGATGGAGGGAACCGTAAGAAGGCAGCAGAAACAAATCTGACTCTCAGTGTTTCCTGTAAGTGATCCTGTGGACCCGTCACGGTTCAGCTGGTTCTGATGAATGAAGTTAATGTGTGACCCGTTCTCCTCAGATGCTCCTAAAGACACCTCAGCATCCATCAGTCCATCAAGTGTGGTGTCTGCAGGTACCTGGGTGGAGCTGAGCTGCTCCAGCAGAGCCAAGCCTCCTGTCAGAACCTTCACCTGGTTCTGGAACATCAAACCTGGACCTGTTCTTGTTTCTGAAGGTCAGGTTTACAGGTTCAACGTCTCTGAGGGAGGAGAGTTTTACTGTGTGGCTCTAAATGATCTGGGTAACCAGAGGTCACCTGTGGTTCTTCTTAACTTAGAAGGTAAATATTTAATTGACTCTTGTTTTACATATTCCTATGTTTTGAATAGTTAAACTTTATTTTTTTTTTAGATTATGCTTTATTAAAATTTCCAGCAATCCAAATACATGATCTATTGTAAAAAAAAAAAAAAAATTAGAACTGGGGAACAAAGTAGTTCCTTTTAGACTTGTTGATTGAGTCCAGCTGTATCATGATTTGGTTGTTTCTTGAACCCCAAAGTGCCCAAAGACAGTCGCTCGGGGAAGTCAGAGCCAGAGTTTCTTTACTGTCGTTCGCACCACATGTGGTGGAATGAAATTATGTACTCAGGGTCCCAGTTCATAAACTCAAAGGTAAAATAAGAATATTATTTATTCAACAAAAACAAAAGGCTGATGTGGCAGCAAAACTTACACATGTGAACGAGGAGACACGGAGGGAGACATAACATGACCCCAATACAGGACAATTCACTGCCAGGGGAACAACAAAAAGATGCAGATTATATAGAGATGCTGACGAGGAAATAATTACAAACACCTGGGGGAGGTCAACGATGGACAGGTGTAACAGGAGATGGCAACACGAGGGACAAACACTGAGAAAGGCAGGACAGATGATGCAAGGAAAACACAAATAGCACACATATCCTCTCAGTATTCTCCCTCTAAGGACGGCTCTTAATGTCCCAAAACATACCATCTACTTTGTAACTCGGGTGGGAGTAGGGGGGGAATCAGGATGGAGGGCATGAAGAAGAACACAAGGGGGAAAAAACTGACAGGATATGACCTGGGCAACTCAAAACACATAAAGTTCGAGTTCAGATGGCTGGCTAGGAAACCATCCAGCACAGGACAAGAGTTCAGGCGAAAGGCAAGGGGACTGTCCAGTATGGGACAAGAGTTCAGGTAGAAGGGCTGGAGACTGTCCAGAGTGGGTGGACGGCCAGGAGACCATCCCAAATGGGGCATGGGTTCTGCAGGTGTCCAGGAAATTGTCCAAACTAAGGCAACAGTTCCAGCGGGTGGTCAGGAGACTATCCATTTTTGGGCAAGAGTGGTATCCACTTGGACTCTCACTGACTCAGAACCCAGAAGACCCAGATCCTGACCCAGAAGAGCAGCAGATAGAACCAGCATATCTGCAGATAGGAACAAAAAACAGCAGCTGGATATGGAACTGGTGAGTCTGCAGCAGGTGATTAGACCGGTGAAACTGCAGCAGGCATAGAGTCCACAGGGGCTGCAGCAGGCATGGGATCCACCAGAAGCTTGGACCCTCAGGAGGCTTGGTACCCTCAAGAGATAAGGAGGAAGATTGAGAGGCATATTCCAGGTCTCTCTCAGAGGAAGTGTCAGAGGCATCCTCTAGAACCCCCATGGAGATGGATGTGGGTCATCATTCCTGACACCCACTGAGACACAGGAAGTAGGTGGGTTGTCATATCTGACACACATGGAGACACAGGAAGATGGGCCATCGTCCTGGACACCCACTGAGACACATGGAAGTGGTGGGTTGCTGTCCTCGACACCCACTGAGACACATGGAGACACAGGAAGATGGGCCATTGTCCTCTACACCCACTGAGACACATGAAAGCGGTGGGTTGCTGTCCTTGACACCCACTGAGACACATGGAGGGGCTGGCAGTGCAGGAGACACTGGTAGCACAGGAGACATTGGCGATGCAAGAGACACTGGCGGTGCAAGAGACACTGGTGATGCAAGAGACACTGGTGATGCAAGAGATACTGGCGGCACAGGAAACACAGGAGGTGCAGGAGACACTGGCAGCACAGGAGACACTGGCAGCACAAGAGACACTGGTGGTGCAAGAGACACTGGCGGTGCAAGAGACACTGGCGGCACAGGAAACACAGGAGGTGCAGGGGACACTGGCGAAAACACAGGACATGCTATCAACACAGAAGACACTGGAGAAGGTTCAACGGACTATACCAGGGTCCGTCATTGACCCCTCCTGCGACTACGACCAGTTAGGATGTAGAACGGATCTAAGGACGGAGCCGATCTTTCAGTCAACTTGGGTGAAGAACTGTGTTCGTTGTGGATAGGGGAGGTAGTCGGCCAGTAGGTTGGTCTCTCCTTTAATGCCTCATCCAAAAAATATGTCATCCCTGAGGAATCAACCAGGTCCAGCAGCCGGTTGAACTCGCCCCAAAAATCCTCTATGGCGATTCACCTCACCCACAGGTCGCTGGAGGTGGTCACTGTGTCCATGTATTTCTGCGTTACCTTTCAGAGCCACTGTTCATCCTCTGGGGCGAGCTCCGCAAAGAACAGGCAGCCTGCTGGGTTCATTTCCTGGGTCAGTGGGTTCTATCACAATCTGGTGGTTAGTGGAACCCAAAGTGCAGACAGACACTTGGGGAACTTGAAGGTAAAATAAGAACAATATTTATTAAATGAAAACAAAAGGCTGATGTGGCAGCAAAACAACGAGACACGGACGGAGACAGAACATGATGCCTATACAGGACAATCCACCGACAGGGGAACAACAAAGAGATGCACAATATATAAAGACGCTGATGAGGAAATAATTACAAACACTTGGAGGAGGACAAAGAGGGACAGGTGCAGCAGAAGCTGGGAAAAACAGTGAGGAAGGCAGAACAGATGACACAAGAAAACTACAAATAACACAGATTATCTCAACCTGGCTGTTCATGTTTTCTGTATTTATGTTTCCATGGCTTTATGACGAATCAATTCGTTGGTCAAAGAAAATGTAAAAAAATGAGTTAAGGTTTGAATAGTCTGCAAACAGCACTAATAAAAGTCAGTGGTGATTCAGAGTCAGTTCTGGTTTCAGGTAAAGAAGCGTTTCTGCTCCGTGCTCTTCTTTCCCTGAAGATCCTGGGGATCGTGACCCTCTGCACTTCAGTCATCGTCTTTGAGTGGTCAGATACTTTCTGAGTCCATATTCTGAAGAACGTTGTTTCTGTTACATGTTGGAGTTTAAAGGTTGTTGATACTCGTCGCTTTTTCTTTCAGCTGCTTTAGATTCTTCAACAAACCGAAGAAGGTAAGTTAGCTGAGCCCATCGCTTGACATCATCAGCTTTTATTGTGAAAGGGTGAATTCATTTTTAACGAATCTCACAGTTAAATCTTATTATGAAACAAACAGACTGTCTAAAAACAGAAGTTAAAATTAAAATTTCAGCGGAACATTGACACATTCCTGTTGTTTCCTGTCGTCAGGAACCAGAGGAGGTGCTCTACGAGAACAGTGTGGTGGAGGTTCGTGCATCATGAGACATGAGGAGACGAGGAAGAAGCTGCAGACCAGAACCAGGAGCGTTGGGATGGATGCTTCATTTCTTTCATCTGATTTTATTATTATTACTTTAACTCCTACAATTAGTATCGTTTTGTTGCTTTTAGACTCATAATCTGTCATAGTTTGTCATATTTTATAAATGTTTTTATAGCTTCATGTGACTTTGTTGGAGTTTTTCTGTTGCTTTTGTTCTTCGAGTTTCAGGTGAGAGTGACGAGTCAAGAAGCACCGATTTAATTTAATTAGAGACTCAGAGCGTCTCGTACTGAACTTCAGATTATTTTGTCAGGATGACAAATAATTTATTATTGAACAAACTGAGCTCGCTGTTTCTTCAAATAGTTTTAAATATGATTAGATAGTTTTGAATTTATTTCAATGCACAACTTATTTTATTGTCATTGTAAGTTGTTTCTTAAGATAATCTTTTTTATTGTTTTGTTGTTCCTGTCTTGGTTTCACCTCCAGCACAAAACTTATATTAAAAAATAATTACTGGATGATTTTACACATTAAGTTTTTTCTAACACACATGTCAATCATTCCTAAAGAATATGAGAGACCTGAAGGTTCCTCTGTCTCAGTGCAGGACGGAGGACAGCCAGAGGCCAAAGTGTCCAAACCAGGAAACCGTTAAAAACTCCAAACTTTTGACAAAATAATGTTTTATCCAGAATAGAATATATATTACAATATTTTTAATTTATTTCCTGCCAATCTAATTAAGTTCATGCCACACTTTTAAGTTGATCCTCATCACCTCTTTCTTTAGTCTCAGCTGCTCCTTCAGTCCTCTTTATATTTCTCCACGTTTACCTCCAGCTGGGCGTTCTGGAAGGACCGAGGATGACAAGAACTAGTTGAATCACATCATGTATTGTTTAGTGCTTGAGATAATAAAGCTGAATATCTTAGTTTAATGTCAACTGTAAAATCAGGTTTTCTGAGTCAACCAAATGCTGCACCTCCAGCTCCCTCTGCTGGACTTCCTGCTGTCCTCCCCTTAAAGGCCAGTTTCTCCTAAAGTCACTTTGCCCCCAAAACAACAATTTTCTTGCTTCTTTTTTTTTTTTTTAGAAAAACTGATAGTTTCTATCATTGCGTGAAATTAAATAGCACCTATATTCAAATTGTTCATAGGATAATTTAATATTATCTTTGTAAAAGCTCAAATTATATCTCAACTTCAGCCCAAAAATCTCAAATGAGTTGAAAAGGATGTTCTGTGGATGCATTCTCATCTACCTGCCAGATGTGTTCGAGTGCCTGACCACTGAGATCCTGGAACTAGCAGGAAACACGGCTCGTGACCGCGGAAGGACAGGATCGTCCCTCGGCACCTACAGCTGGCTGGCAGCGACGAGGAGCTCGGCAGACTGCTGGGAGGAGTGGTCATCACTCTGGGAGGAGTTCTGTCCAGCATTCAGGCGGTCCTACAGGTGGAGGGAACCGAGAGACCAGCCGAGTCTGGGTGGACGGATCGGACGGCATCTGCAGCCAGTTTCTTAGGATCCACTGTGGGATGGACCTTTACAAGAGATCCTTCCTACCTACAGCCATCAGCATCTATAACATCTCTTAATGAAATGAGGATAACGAGTTACAACAACAAATAATTTCCCTCTGGGATTAATAAAGTATTTTTGAAATTAATTGAATTGCAGCTCATTTAATAAATATGCCACACAGGAGAGGAGAAGATAATTTTCTTAATCCCAGGTTTAATCTTGCAAGATGGAACAGAGTTGAAAAACATGCATCAAGATGTTTACATGGATTGAGACTGGTGACTTTAATCCAGCTCGCTTCATAAAAAAAAAAAATAAAAAAAAATAAAAAATATATATATATATATATATATATTGGTTCTGGGTTTGGGTTTTGGGTTCTTTTTATTGCATATATGCTTCAGTGCAAGAAAATAAACAAAATTAAAAGGTAACAGATAATTGTAAACTTTGGTTTATTTACATAATGATTTTAATCGCGGCCTGTGATGGACTTGCGACCTGTCCAGGGTGTACCCCTCCTCTCCCACAGTGATTGCTGGACATGGGCACCGGTGACCCCCGTGACCCAAAATGGAAGACGCGGGTAAAAGATAATCAATGGATGGATGGATTTTAATTGCTAGATGTCTGGCCTGCGAGCTGTTGGCTTTCAGAAACTGTTTGGTTGAATAGCCCTGCAGTATAGCCCACTACTGGAGTTTTAATTAGGTATTTTAAGCTACTAAAAAACACGATGAATGATGATCATATTGCTTTATGCTAGGCCTGAGTAAGAAAGAGTGATTATTATTATTATTTCATATTGGCTAGTCATTTATTTTCCCTAAAACTTAACTTAGGCTACACCATGTTTCTTAGACTGTGACTAGGATGTGTAAGAGAAGCGGACTGTGCTCTATTCACACAAGGAGAGCTGTTGGTCAGGCTACTTCTTGTTGTGCCATTAACTCCACAATAGTTATTGAATCAAGTGTTACTTATGTAGGTAAAACTAGTTGTTAAGCATTCCGTTAAAATACACCAGAATGCACAAAATGGCATCTACTTTATTCAAAATTTTCTGGGGGAGGACCCCAAACCAGTGTTCTCCCCCACCATTCCAAATGCTTCTGATGCCAATGGCTATCTATCACTTTGTCCAAGCCAAGAGCTATTGTCAGCTCTTGGGGACTGAGCACCCCTAAAGGGCATATTTTAGAATCGCCCCTGATGTAAGTTTATAATTACACGATTCAATAATAATAGGTCGTGCTCTAAAGTGGGCCGGTCTGAGGCGTGAAACTCCAGGGCTGAAAACGAGCCTCACTCCGGCCCTGCTTGGGTGCAAAAATCAGAAGTTCTGCACTTATCCCAAAACTACAAACATTTGCTATTCAAATCTCGCAGCTACATTAGCGTACCACTTGTTTCATTTTAGATTTATACGTCGTAGTTCGTCTTAGTCAAAAGCCTGTGTGGTGATTTGACACAAGGTTTTCCTAAGAAGCGTTCTTTGGTAAAGAATGAAAGAGTAAAGTGAGAAATCTGGAAAATATATACTTTGTTTTATGCATCTAGAGCGAATAAATTAAATTATACATTATTGTTTTATCAGGTTATAAAGACATGTCTGTGCAAAAGTATTTATCAAACAAACATTACAGATATTTGAAATGTCACTTCATGAAGGGAACAGGCAGTTGTTGTTTGAACCAAACAACAAAAACCTCAAGTTGATAATGAAATGTGATAACTTCCTGTCTTTATTAATACAAACAAAGAAAATATTTGACCATTTCAGAACAGAGAAGTTCTGCAGCTGGTTTGTTGCAGCTCTGCTGGACCTCAAGTTCTCTTTTATTTGTTCTTGTTGCTCCTGTGGAACCCGTTGGTAAGCAGTTTGGACATTTATTCATTCTTGATCAAGCTCAGTGGTTTGTTGCCACACCACATTTTTGATATAAGCTACATTATAAATGACTGTAGGCAGATTTAGACCAGTTTTAATTGATTATGATAATGATTATTTATAATCATGATTAGTTGTTAATGGTTAATTTGTTGTTTCACGCTACACATCCAACCTCCTGCCTGGGACTTTTCTGTGATTTGATTTACTTTTTTTTTTACAGTAAAAAGGATCTGAATGCTTAATTTGATTTTACGTTTTTGTCGTTGACCTTGCTCAGACGTGTGTTTAACATCAGGCCATGGACGTTCAGAGGATTCTGAGAGCAGCGTCACAAACTTCAGCTGTTTTTCAAACAGCTTCAAGTTGAGATCTGTAGGATTTGCTCTCTGTGTAATAATTTTAAACTTCATGATTATAATAATAATAACAATAATGGTAACACTTTAACTACTAGGGAACGCCTCAGGAACAAATCAGGATCAAATCAGGAGTTAATAGGTAGTTACCTAGTACTTACTGGGGAATGCACAGCCAAGCCTTATTAGGAGACTACTGGTTAGTTACCTTGTAAACGAAGAGGCACTAATCAAGAACTAATGGGTAGTTACCAAGAAAACTAAAGAGGAATGAATCAGGAGCTAATGGGTTATCAGTAATCACTGGGAAACAGGTTTTTGACCATTATGAGCTGTGACCTCACTGGTGCAGGGTTTATTCAGAACTCACATGAAGAATTTCTCCTCTGTTTCTGTGGTAACAAACCAGTGGTCACCTAATAAAGCTTGGCTGTGTGTTCCCCAGTAAGTACTGGTTAGCTACCCATTAGCTCCTGATTTGTTCCTTAGGCGTTCCCTGGTAGTTAAGCAAATTTTGTGTACCTTATTGTAAAGTGTTACTGTAATAATAAAGTGTTATGTGTTGTCATCATTGTACGTTCCCATACAATGGTGAAACTGGCTCTCTGCATTTAACCCATCCACCCACAGGTGGAGCAGTGGGCAGTTATTGAAAGCGCCTGGGGAGCATTTGGGGATAGGGTGTCCTGCTCAGACACCACGAGATGTTCAATGCTTGGGGATCGAACCTGGACTTTTGTGAGAGAATCACACTTTGTTAGTGTTAATTTTAAATAAGACTTATAAAATTTGAATCACACAACTCAAAGAGCAAATGATGCTCATAAAATCTAGCATCCTCTTTTACTAAATGAGGAAGAATGAATTTTTACATTTTAAACAGAGAAGTTGATTTTGTTCCGATCATCAGATAAAACTCGCATTGTTTTCCTCTAGTCTCCAGAGTGATGATGAAGAGTGTGATGGC